CCTCCACAACTAGACTGAAGAACAAAATGACAGCAACTTGTCTGTTTCCCTTTCCCCAATTCCCCAGCACTGTTCCCATCCCCTAATTCCCCAATAAAAAATCTTAAAAAAAAAAAAAAAAAAAGAGTCCCCATGTACCTTTTACTCCATTTTCCCTGAAGGTAATGTCTTATAAAACTATAGAAGATATTGCAGCAGAGGCTTTGACTTTGGTACAGTTAAGACTGAACATTTCCGTCCACGCAGGATCCTCTTGTTGCCTTTTCATAGCCACACACTCCCCCCTTGCCTCCACCCCCTCCTTCACCTTGGGCAACAACGAATCTCTTCTCCCTTTCAATAATTTTTGTTCATTAAATATTCATGAACAGGTTGGTGTGTGGAGGTAAGTTTTTGTTTCTCTGTTACAAATGCCCTGGAGTGTAATTGCTGGGTGCTGGGTGGTATTATAGTTGCATACTTTTTTTGTTTTTTGTTTTTATTGGGAACAATGTGTTTTTCCAGGACCCATCAGCTACAAGTCAAGTAGATGTTTCAATCTAGTTGTGGAGGGTGCAACTCAGTGGTCCATGCAGGGATCAAACTGGCAACCTTGGTGTTATGAGCACCGTGCTCTAACCACCTGAGCTAACTAACCACCCCTATATTTTGTTTTTTAAGAAACTACCAAACTTTTCCAGAGTCTACCATTTTACACCTGCAGTGTATGAGGAGTCCCATTTCTCTGCATCCTGACCAGTTATTTTTCAAAGATAGGTGTGGGACAATGTCATCATTTTAAGTAGCATTTCCTAATAGTTAATGATGGACATTTTTTCTGGTATTTATTTGCCACTTTGGTGAAACGTCTCTTCAGTGAAAATGTCATGTCTTTTGTCCATTTTTTAATTAGATTTTTTTGTCGGTGAGTTTTAAGACGTCTGTATTTATTTTACAACTAGTTTTTTGTTGGATATGTGGTTTGCAAATATTTTCTCACAGTCTGTAGGGTAATACAGGCTCTTTTGCACACCAGAAGCCTTTAATTTTGTTGAAGTCTGATTTATCAGTTTTTCAGTTTGCATATTTATCAGTTAGCTGCTGCTTATACCCTTCATCCACTTAGCATACCAAAATAGATCATTGTCCTTCTTTTCAATTTGTGTTTGCTCTTTATATTAAAGGTAGTGAGTGATTTTTGGACTAAAATATTTATTGTTTTCATTTTATTTGGAGTGGTAGTTCACAATGCATTTTTGAATAGTTTCTACTTAGAATATTCTAGACAAAGCAAAAACTGATCCTAATTTGATTTTCCCTGAACAACCTTGACTGTGTGGGGGCATCACAATTGTTTATAATGTCTGTGGAAATTATTCTGTGTTTTTTTCTGAACGTACATATTATCACGCCTCCAGATATTTGTTGGTACTGTGGTAGACAAAATACTGTTTGTCAGTTTTGGAGTGGACATGGTATTTCCTATCTTGTGCGAGATGGAAACAGACATAAGCCAGAGTTGCTGCGAAATGACATCAGTTTGAGTCTATGATGCATTAGGCACTGTGCTGAGTTCCTCTGCAGAAATGTTAAATGTTGATCTTTTCAGCAAAATACAGTAGTGCTTAATATGAATAATTTCACTCTGTCATTTGAGAGAGATCACTACATTATGTCTTACAATAAATGGCATATAAGATGTTTAGAGTGAAGCGAAGTTTAAAAAGTTTAAAATGATGCCATTTACCATTCTGTGTTTTTTCAGTTGCCGGAATCTGCGCTCAGAGACCTCATTGTGGCCAGCGTTGCTGTCAAGTATACTCAGTCCAACTCTGTGTGCTATGCCAAGAACGGCCAGGTAACCACGCCATGAAACTCACCTGGGGGGTGGGAGGGCTGCTGTTTTACAAAATGATAACTCAGAAATTCATCTCGAAGGGCAAAATTTGCCCTTTTTTTTTTTTCTCTCCTGGGTTTGTCAGTATTTCCTGAGTAACTTGGAGCTAAGTACTAAAATTAGTCATCTTGCTTCTTGTCTAGAATGAGTGGCGCATTTTGGATTAGTGGGACTTGAACAGCTGCTACAAAACTGGTTCATTCACCCCCTCCCCACCATTGGTAGCATTTCCAGTGAAGAGGGAATACATAGTGATGGTGCCACCCACCAGCCCATGGTTTTGCAGCTTGTAGGGCATTTTCACATGTATTTCTTAGGTTATTTTACCAAGAATTCATTGACTTAGGGACTAACACGATCTTTTAAAATCAGGTTCACTTAGGCATAATTTGTATAATAGTAAAATTTACCCCTTTTAAATGTAGAGTTTGACGAGTTCTCATAAATTATATAGTTGTGTGACCAGTACTACAATCAAGATATTGAACATTTCGTACTATCTGATGTGAATGAAGCAAGATTTTGAACTTCATTTGAGCTGTCAAATGCAGGACCCAGCTAGCCCTTCACTCAGGCGTCTCCTGACTCGAGGGCGGACCTGGCTCTGTCAGCTTCAGCAGCAGTGGAGCCCTTCCCTCGCAGCGCCTTGAGCTCTTCTCTTGGCGTGTGTTAAATCATTTGGCGCACAAGTGGGCGGGGTGAGGGTGGATACTAATTAGCATTGACCTAGAAGACCCTAAAATTCAAATACAGTTAGTGATCGCCAACTGTTAAAAGATGGCTAGTCTCTAATAAACAGAAACCTGGGAGATTGTGGCTGCTGATCTCCTTGTGCTCAGGCGCTAGTAAGTTCCAGCGATACCATGCATGCATGCTTCACTACTGAAGTCCAGGAGTTCTAGAAACTGCCATAATATTAAGAGGCAAAAACATGTAAATAGTAGTTAGTCATAAACCTCTTACCCTCACCTTTTAAAGACTCAAAAATTACATTTCTCTTATTTGGCCTGGTATTTTCTTCCACAAAATTAATAGGTAGATTTGGGGGTGAGGGGGAGGGAGAGGGCTATGCACAGAAGCACCTTTGAGACAGGTGTGTGGCTGGAAGAGCTGTTATTTTCATGTCTGTGTTCTTCAGGTTATTGGCATTGGAGCAGGACAGCAGTCTCGGATACACTGCACACGCCTTGCTGGGGATAAGGCGAACTTTTGGTGGCTTAGGCATCATCCACGAGTTCTCGCAATGAAGTTTAAAACCGGAGTGAAAAGAGCAGAAATCTCCAATGCCATCGATCAGTATGTTACTGGAACCATCGGCGAGGTGAGAGGCTTGTCATTGGGTGTGGGTGGAGTGTATTAGTATGTTCACCCTTTTGTGTGTAGCAGACTACCTCCGTCACTGCTGAGAGAGAGTGCTACTTTCTTGAAATTCTAATGTTGCCTAAAATTGTTAATCTAAACTTCGTGCCAGTTCCTCCTCCTCTTCTGTCGCATTTAACTTTCTTCATCCCTTTCTGACACCACAAGTCCTTCTTCTCTGTCCTTTTAAATTATAACCATTGGTTTAGTTTTGCATGCAGTACTTCCCCTATTGATTATAAGCTTTTGATGGCAGGGACTTTTTTCACCCATCTTGAGGTATTTATCCCAGTGCCAGGCATGACATTACTCTTTAGGTGTGTATTCAGCATTACATGCAAATTACCTGATAACAGGAAACCAGTGTCTTTTTCTTCTTCTCCACCCACATTTTCTACAAGCGCCATTAACAAGTCAACATAGTTTTGTTAATTTCATGTTCTTTAATATCTTGTTTTGAAGAAAGTATATGGGAACATTAAAATTAGGAGTATCAGGTAACCTGCAAAAATAATAGGGTTTAGCCCAGTGTCTGGACATAGCAAGTGCTTAAGAAATAACTGGATGGAAAACAAGAGAAAGGTCTGGAAATCAAAATCTCAGTGGTTTCCTGAAGGGTGAGTCCCCTACACTGAGTTGTCCGTTCAATATATATGCCTTGTAACTATGAAGTGCTTGAAACAGCTTTTGCTTTTTACTTTAATTTTATATTTTTTCTGTTGGATATTACCCAACAAAACCCTACTAATTGTCCTGAAGAGCCTTTATATGTGTACAAGAATGAAAGTATGTTGTTTAAGCCAAAAAAATCACCCCAAAAGGAAGCATCTTCTTACAATGTGAATATTGTGAATTGTGTTTTGATTTGTCTTGAGACTAACTTGATCAATGTACTCGGAATGCCCATTGTCAGCTGTTTCCTTGCTTGTTTTACTGCAGTGATGTAAAGGAGTAGATTTAACTCGGGCACAGATTAAAGAACAAAGTATATTTGGAATAAACTGATGTAGAAAGTATTTGGTGCATTATAAAGAGAGATTGTAGAAATACGACCTTGAATGTAAATAAGCATCATTATTTATAATTAAGAAATCTGAGGAAAACCGCCCAGTGCTTTCCAGCATTCCTACTTGCATCAGACAGTGCTTAAGATGGCGTCAAAACCCTTCTCTCCCTTCTAACCCCCACTCTTAGGGTGAAGATTTCATAAAGTGGAAGGCACTGTTTGAGGAAGTCCCTGAATTATTAACTGAGGCAGAGAAGAAGGAATGGGTTGACAAACTCACCGAAGTTTCTATCAGCTCTGATGCCTTCTTTCCTTTCAGGGATAATGTAGACAGAGCTAAAAGGGTACGTATGGAATTGGCTGCCCTTGCATGGAATTGATCATTATATAGAAACTGTTTCAGAAATTCTGCTTCTGATTTTTCAGTTCTGTGAGTTTATATAGCCACGTTAAGGCAGTGCAATATATCAGCGATACTTAAGAGAATTGTTCTGACTTCTCCTTTTGATGCATAACTCAAATCCCGTTACTTCACCTTTTTTTTTTAAGCTGGGGCTCAGCTAGCGCCCATGCGGGAATCGAACCGGTGACCCTGTTGCTCGGAGCTCGCACTCTTGAGCAAGATCTTAACTAATTGAGCCACTCAGCCGGCCCCGTTACTTCACATTTTTGAGTGAATCAGTCTGCAATGTGAATCATTCTTAGCTTATGCGTTTGAGATGGGGATTGTGATTTTTGTGTATTTGAACGTAAAACTGTGTTTTGAGAGTCACTGTCTTATTTCCCCGTCAGAGCGGCGTGGCGTACATTGCTGCCCCTTCCGGCTCTGCTGCCGACGCAGTTGTGATCGAGGCCTGCGATGAACTGGGAATTATCCTCGCTCATACGAACCTTCGGCTCTTTCATCACTGACTTCATCACACATCATTCAAACGTTTGCTTATTTGTAGGTGAAATATCATCTGGGAATTTCTGAAAATCCTTTTCAAAGAAATAAAACATTAGATCTTAGTAAGAATCTTGAATCCATGGTGTCTGGTAGTTGTATTTAATTCGTCTTAAAGATATGGGCTCTTTAGCATAATAAACACGACACGGAAATATTTGTGTGTAACAGATACAGGACTGTCCCTACCTCTTGGAGCTCACCACATCCCAAAACATTGCCTGTGAGAAGCACCTACAAATCATCCCATCCGCCAGAGACCAAGCAGCTGCCGAGCAGATGAAGGCACAAGCCTCTCAGCCCACTCGTTTCCTCATAGGGGACTCTGCTCATGCAGTTCGTTTTCATCACAGTTCTGAAAAGCTTGGTTGTCTCCCTGCTGAACACCCAGCAGATTATATCCCGTGAACTAGAAATTTCGAAGGGATTAATGAGTCTTCTGTTGACCCCATATACAGATAATGCTAGTGCATACTTTTTCCTCTGTGTTAAGTGAAATGTTGCCCATAATTGCAGCAAGCCCTTGATGTCCCCTCTGGAGCTGCATAGAAGATGTAATTACTGTTTGCTGTATAGAAATGGACCTGGTCATTCCACTTAATGGGCTTCCCTTGGAAAGTAGGGCACGGTGGGAGGCAGTGCCCCCCTGCACGCGTGGTCCTGACTGTTCACCTCTATCACACCTGAGATCAGCCAAAACCTTTTGTCATCTTTCACCTTAATAGATGAATCCCACCTCCTCCCTAGGCCTTAACTCACCTCTCCTCTAAATTAAAATTTCTCAAGAAATTTTTTTTACGGTCATCCTAGTTGTTAATGTATCGACTAACCTAGTTTTTGCATAGTACCCTCCCACATTAAAACAAGACTGACTTAATGTGGTATGACCAATAAAAGAACTGTAAAAGAATGTGTGACCTGAGGCTAGTTCATAAAAGGTATTCAGTTCATTTACATTCATTTTAATTGATATACTTGGATTTGAAATTTGAATTGATAACTACATTTCCGCCCTAATAAATTAAGAACTTCTGCCCACTTTCACAACTGTTTCCCTCCTTCACCCTCCCAAACTCCCTTGATTCCTAGACTGAGGTCTGGGTTAGGGAGTTAAGTATTCTCTTGGCTATTTTTTTTTTAATGACAAGCTTTTCCATGGTTTCCGTTAATAACCTTTCCTTCACATCTCTCTTGCAGTATCTCCTGAGTTGCTCTCCTCTTGTAGAAACTATCCAGCATGGTCTGCCAGGCACAAACTTACTTAAAAAATAAAGTGTAATAAAGTATGCCTGCGGAAGGTGCTTAAAACATTTATAGTTTAGAGATTAATTTTTAAACAAATGCCTACATCTCCAACGGGATCAAGAAAAAGAATTTTGCCCTGTTTCCCCTCATGCCCGTTCTTGCTTATGGCCCACCTTGCCCTCCAGGAAACTTGCCTTGTGCCTTTCTGATAACCACTACCTTGCTTTGCCACTCACTGGTTGGGTGATCTTGAGTTTATGCCTTAACGTCTTAGAATTTGTTTTTATCTATAAAATGGGAATGTATTTGAGCCTGGAGAGGCCAAATACTGTATTTCCCCATCTATAAGATGCACCTTAAATTGGGGCCCGAAATTTGAAAAAATATGTATTACATACAGTTACTGAACTCAAGTTTTATTCATCATAAAATTCATACAACTCCTCATCACTGTCAAAAAATCTACAACCACTGTATAAGACGCACCCAGTTTTTAGACCCCAAATTTTTCAGAAAGGTGTGGGTCTTATACATGGGGAAATATGGTAGCTCCCGGTTAAAAGTACAGGTCCTGGAGCTAGTTTTGTCAGGTTCAAGTCCCAGCTGTACTGCTGAGCTGATTCACTTACTGGATTGCCAATACTGGACATTTCATATAAATGGAATCATGATATGTGTGGCCTTTTGTGCCGGACCTCTCTCACTTAGCAGAATGTTTTCAAGGTTGATGACGTGACATGGATGAGTACTTCATTCCTTTTTAGGGTCAAATAATGTATTGTTTATCCATTCTTCAGTTCATGGACATTTGGGTTATTTCCACTTTTTGGCTGTGATCAATAGTGGTGTTATGAACATTGTGTACACGTTTTTATGTGAACATGTTTTCAGTTCTGGGTATCTACCTAGGAGGGACTTGATGGGTCCTGTGCTAATTCTGTGGTTAACTGTTTTGAAGAACCATCGAACTGTTTTCCACAGCAGCTGCACCATTTTACGTTTCCACCAGCAATGTATGAGGATTCCAATTTCTCCACCAAGCAGCATGTTTTTGAGTCAAATACTGCATAGCTTTTTAGCACTTGGCTCAACATCTTAAAACTAATACGGAACTCCACAGACCAGCAGTTTCGTTGTCAAGTCCTGTCCAGCCGTCTCTGGCAGGGGTCATGTTTCCTGGAATGAAATGGCCGTGTCCAAAGTACCATGATGCAAAAAGAATCCTTGGCCTTCGTGTGTTTTACGTAAGGGGAGCCTGCTGTGGTGGGCAGCCCACAAGACGGTGATTCCAGCCCCAGCATTACAGGATGCTGATCATCACCTGGAACTAGGGGCCTTCCACAGCCTCCAAACTGTTATTATAATTCCAAGTCTTTGCGGGCTCCACACAAGAACTATTTTAAAGATAAATTTGCCTCTTTGTTAAAGCCTATACATCTCTCAAGAGTAAGTAAAAAGGAATTCAAGGAAATGTAAAACATGCTTTAATATCTCCTACCTGACTCCACTGGAGGAATGTTAAAAAAAAAAGGAATTCCCCATTTTTGGCTTTCAGCAGAAGCACCATCCCTCTTGCTATTTTATTACTTAAAGTATTCTTTTCCGTTGTAATTTATATAGATTTTTGTTTGCAATTCAAATAGAATCTCTTAATGTGTATGTGGAGAGTGGGACGATGTGGCAATGATAACTCGAATCTCAAATATGACACCCTCTCTTTAAAAAGAACTTGCTTAGTCTGAAAAACCCATGGCGGTGCAAGGTCGTCTTTCTGCCCTTCTGCTTTATTAGCTTTTATGATAATGTTTAAATGTTCCCAAACATGAGAAGTCCCAAGAGTGGTCCTTTTTTTTTTTTTTTAATGGTTGAAATGTATCTCCTGAAAATGGGATTTTTTAATTGTAGCCTGCCACTTTCCCTCCCACAGCAATGGGGATTGACTGAATAGGAAGCAATTTCAGCACTTAAATGTGCTGATGTGATGTTTCTTAATCACTTTAACGAGTTACATATAACGAGAAATGGAATAGAATTTTCAATGAAAATAGAATTAAATAAAAGTCATTTCCTATACTTGTAATTTCCACCTGATCATCTCTATTCACCTCCACAGAACCACAGAAAGTGTGCCGTACAAGCTTATAATGATATTATTATCCAGGCTAATTTGCATAATTCACTTAGGTCATTAGAGCTGAAAACAATATAAATAACACAACAAATTTCATTACAAATCAAGTGCAGCAAGGCAAGGTTAAGCTTCCAAACTATAACATTCCTTTTTAAAGTTTGATATATTTACAAGTTTCACCTGATTTTTCTTGAATTGGCAATTTCTTGCCTGAACCCTGATTGGTCTTTTCATTATGCCTTTTCAGTCTGGCTTGCTTAAGACAATTCTCAGGGGAAGCAGTAACATGGGTCCGTAAAAACCAAAAGATCTTCGGGAATCGTCTCTGTTCTTGTGTTTGAATGATTTTGCTGAGAAATAGTAAAAAAGAAAGTTTTACCATTCTTGCTTTGTGGTGCCAAAAGACTATTTAAATTTATTGAATTTGTCCTCATTATTTAAATGTAGTTACTGACTCACTATTGAAATAGTTTAGTTTGTAAATTTAATATATTGCTTTTGAGAATCTAGCAGACATTCTGGAAAAAGTCACATTTTTATCTTACACGTGGAGTCTGGTCTTTACATTTCAGTATGTAAATTGTCAAAAGGGCTTGCTGTCCCTTTAATACAGTCCAACTGGATTTACTTAAATTCATTCACTTTGGCGATAATATTTTTAGGTTTGTAGTTAGAGAAATGGTTTGAAGCATAGTCAGTCTCAACCCGAAGCTGCTCTTTCCTTATGTTTTTAAGTAGAAAGACCTTTAAACAAGATCAAGCTGAGGCTCATGTCTTCATGTAGGAGGGTGGAGGGGACAGCCTGCCTTCTCTTGGGCGTGTCTTCAGTGGGACTCCCCATTGCCCAGGGTGTGACTTGTACTGAGTCACACTCTCTCCAGTGACCTGTGATGACCCACATATGTGACATAGTCATCTAATAGCACCGTAATCTGTCCTTTCTGTGATTTTTGTTTTTTCACATATCTTGGTCAATACTGGCCTGATATGCTGGTTAGTGATGTTAAACACAAATCTGGGGGGGTCTGGGTCTGTGTCCAGCCAAGGAAAACTCCTGTGAGCTGTAGACTCTGTAAAACTAGAGTAGAAAACCTCCCCCAAAGGAGATGCTAACCGTCACAGCATTTTATAGAAAATCAAATGGGAATGTTTGGTTCTTTAAACAAATACACCCTGAGGAACTCTCTATGTATGTCTTAATATTCATTGCCAGGTATTTACTAAAATATTTTCTACATTGCACAATAGTATATAAAAAGTGTTTTCCATGTCTTGTGTATTATGATTTATTTATCTTTTACTAATTAATAATCACCTATTTCCAGGGCCACTATTACTCTGAACGCCAGGTTTAATCCCAAAGTTTTGTTTCCCCAAAGTTGAACTGAAAAGGAAATGGCCTTTGCAGGTCAAGAGTAGGCAAACTTTGTTCAATTTGGGGCACCCTAAACATGCAGCTGACAGGAATTTAGACAAGATGGATTGAGGCTATTATACCATGGGGTTTCCTAAGACAAAACTCCTCTATGCTATACGACTGAAGTAGTTTTAACATCTCAGTCACCTTTTTATTTTCCTTGCAGGTAATCTCTGCATAGATGATAAAAGGAAAGGAGAGGGGATGGGGGGAAGAAGTATGATTAGAAAAGAGCAACTAAAAGCTGTCTTAGGCCAGCCGAGTGGCGTGTTGGTTAAGAGCTGGC